ATAATAAAAAAATTTCATATAAAATCACGTATTAATTTAATAAAGGCCGTATTTTTTCCATTTAACCTTCTCGTTCCCAAGAAAATACATTGATCCCTATCTGTAGGCTGTAAGGCCATTCTTCATATGATAACAGCAAAATTCCATAACCGTCGAAAGTAGTGGCCTTGTGATCACTGATTTTAGTGCTGGGAATCTATTGGATTTCTCAGTTCTTCGATGCTGGGTCGTTGGTTCGTTGATGTGTTTGCTAACTAGAATAATGTTAATGTTGACCAAATATAATGTAAGTCATTGAGGACAGGAAATATATATATATATATATATATATATAAAAGGGATGAGTGATATGATATTAAAACATGGGATGATCTTTCATTTCTCATAGAATTCGATTCTCCAAACACACTTCATAGCATTAGCAAAGCCTAGAATTAACCTCCTCCAAAAACTGGGGAGAAAAGAAAAAGGAAAAATTCTCAAAAGGCCCAAAATCAACGTCTCTGTTCACAGCGCTTCAACATGAGCATCTGCATCCCCACTGGTCACAACGGTAGGAACACTCTCACCTTCCTCAAAAACCTTGGCGATCTTCTCCACCGGAACAAACGGCAGATACGACCCTACGGCGTACCCTCTCTCCGCCGCGTACGACACCCCCTGGTTGTACCTGTCCGCCCAGTACGCAGCAGTGGGGACCGCAATCTGCGCCAACTGTGGAAAAACCGGAAGCCGATTCAGCCACCGCCACGCCGCCACCGCGTACTGCTCCACCGCCGGCTCGTACTTGTCGATCAGCTCCTTCGCCGCCGGCTCGTAGCTGGCGTACAGAGCCCTCGTCGCGCCCACCACGCCGGAGCTCTGCACCTCCGCCGCCACCGACAGCGCCTGGCTCCACGCCTGCTTCACCAGCAACGGCACGTGCCCGTCCAGGTCGCTCAGCGCGTCGTCCACCTACAATCATCACCCGGCGCATTTTAAGATCAGCACGCTAACGTGCGCCGACATAGAAAAAAATTCAAGAAACATAAGAGAAACTAAAATTACCGACCTTGCCATCGACGAACTTGAGAAGCTGAAACGGAACGTCGTGGAACTTCTGGTAGACCGGTCCGATTACGGTCTTGACTGTACCCTCGACGGTCTGAACCCCCGGTTTGAGCGGACCGGAATTTTCCTTCGCGTACTCGTAGACGCTCGAGAGGCAAACCACGATGTAGATCGCCGCCACTTGCACGAATTCCAAGTACTTGAGTTTCTTTTCATCAATTCCATTATTATTATCTTGAGGTTGAACCTTCATAACATAATAGTTCATGAAATCAGATTAGTATTTCTCAAAACCTCGAGCCGATCCGGTCGGTTCCTAACTCGAGTTTTTAATATGAGTTTAAATGCGATGTTGGGTGAATTTTTTATTGTAGTAAAAAAATTAAATGTGATTATCTAAACTCAAATAGTCGTTTTTATCGATCTTCAGTTCAAGCTTATGAATCATTCAATTGTTTGTACAGAAAAAAAAAAAAAAAAAAAAACCTTAAAAGGACCAGACCAAGATTCAAGAAAGCAATTTACCGTCGCCGGTTGTGGCTGTTTGACTTCTGAATCCATCATTTTCGCACGAATCCTCAGGAGCAAAATACGAACACTTTAAAAACCAAGTAAAAATTAAGGAAAGATATCAAATGATTCAAATCTATGAAGACGAAAGGAAGCGTTGCAACTGGTTCCTGATATATAGGAATCTCGGGCGTCAATCTCCAGAACAATTCCACGGCTACGGTTATGACTCTTTGCCACGTGGCGGGTTCTAAAAGAGCTGATTGGTCAATGGCGTCAACGAGACTTCTTTCGCCGCGAGGGTTGTTTCGATGGTTGGATTAACTCGACGGCCCAGATGAAGCGTGGGCGTGACTGAGGTTGACACGTCTGTGGTAGAAAAATGTGGTGATGAATGTCATACGAGACCGCGACACTTGGACATGTTGGATGGGATAGTTATCGGGACGTGTGACGTGTCGAAGTGCGGGCTATGAGGGTGAGGATATAGATATTCTCTGTTAATGGCACGGAAGGCTATGCCACATCACGGCACGGGACCCGAGATGTACCAGATCGGGATGGTCCAGTTCAGTCCATCCCTCTTCTGATGAAAATGCGATCATTTTTAGAGCCCGTTTAGTATTTTTTTTATAAAAAATATATGTAAATTAAAAATAATTCTAATCACATGGTTCTAATTTATGAATTAAATGGGTTCTTAATTTTATTTTAAAATTTAAAAGACGTTTAGTTCATAAATTAAAATTATGAGATTAAAATTATTTTTTATTTATATATTTTTTATGAGAGAAAATATTATAACGAACTATAAACCATGGTATGAATCTCTTTACTAAACGTCTCCTTAATTTAAAACATTCAACCTCAAGATATATATTGTGAAAAAAACCTTAGTCGAGGATATGCTTTTTTAAAATTAATGACCCTCTCTATTTTATTGATTTGAGTTTAGAATTTGAGTTTTGTTATAATAAAATATTTTTAAAAATAGTCACATTTAATTTTTTTATCACAATAAAAATTTTCATATAAAATCACATCTCAACTCAAATTAAAAACTCGAATCAACGAACTAAACGGATCATGAGATTATTTCAGAATTCAAACAAGCAACTACAAAGATATGAATAAACCAGCCTAAACTTTTAAAATCCGGTTGTTATTTTTTTTATTATTTTTTTGTATTTTTCAGGGATATATACTTTTTTTAAATAAATAAAATAAGGTCTTTGTTATTGTTTTTGGCTGGAGTTTTGAAAATACATAGTTGATTAAAGCATTAATAAAGCTTTTATTTTATTTTTTTAATGGAATAAAGATTTTATTTTACCACGACGCTTACTTCATATTTTGGCACTAAAATTTGTTGCATATATGCTGAACGAAGGACCTTGGAATCTGATAACCATTCTAGAGAGTTAAAGTAACAAATCAAAGTAATAGTATCACTTTTTGCTTTTTAGATGAATTATATAGTGACTAGGTCACTATGTTAATACACATTTTATACGAAAATGAGGAGAGAAATATTTTTTAAAGTGTGTGAGTCTCAATTTTAATTAGTTTTTATTTTGATTAATTTTTTTAATTAAATAGTTATATTAGTCAAAATGATATTAATTAAGAGTAGATGGTAAAAATTCAAAATGATGAGATTTTAGAGAGAGAAAGTTAGTGAGATAGGCTATGAGAAGAAGAAAGTTTCAATGTTTGGCTAGAGTGGGTTTCCGGCCTCAAAATTTGGCAGACTCCTCTCGACGTCTGCTTTCTCGTGATGGTGGTTGTGCGTGGAGCGGCGTATCCGTTAAAGCGGATCTACACTCTTATGGTATGTTGATATGCAAGGAGGTGAGATTCACTTAGAGGCAGTGTTTCCTTTCTTCTTCGGTGGTTGGAGTGTTTGTGACTAATATCCCCTCCATTTTGATGTGGTCATCCCAAAATTCTCCACCTCGCCCGGGTGTACTTTCCTTTTGGGGTGGCTTGGCTTAGATTTGCCTTCCGTTCCATGGCCGATGGCTAGCTTCTGATATATCTTTTTTTTACTTAGTTGTAATAAGGGCGTTGATGTTCACGCCTCTTTGATGTGTTTTTTTTGTTTTACTGTGGTGTCATTGTTTCGGTAATAACAGAGGTATTGTCCTTCACTTGTGTCTCCCACCAGTTTATAAACGGTGTGGTGTTTGTCCTCAACTAGAGTTCCCTATGGTGTGATTGCCCCTGTTATGCGGGGATTGGTCTCAATCGATTGGACTAGTCCATCGACTATTTTGGTACAGTTTAATAAGCAATAGTCAAGCTGGGCATGCGTGCAAAAATGGCCTAAAAATGACGATGAATATTCTATTTTTTATGATTTTCTTTATTTTTCATCTTTGAAAAATAAAAGAAAAACGACGTCAAGAATTTATGAAATTTTGCGAATACGATCCTTACATTTTTTTGGACATACTTGCAAAAAATGGCCTAAAAATGACAACAACAAAAAAGAAAAACGCTGTCAAAATGCCCTTAGCCCGTGTAATGGGGCGCCCTGGGTAAAAAATTTACATTTTTTTTATGTTTTGCTTTCTAAAATTAATATACGATTTTAGGAATTAATGCAACAAGCAGCACCATTTTTTGATGAGTACTCTATTTTTTTATGATTTTATTTATTTTTCATCTTTAAAAAATAAAATGAAATCAAAATGACGTCAAAACATTATGCAATTTTGTAGACACGATCCTTACATTTTTTGGGCATTTCTGGAAAAAATGGCCCCAAAAAATGACAAAAAAAGTAAAACGCTGTCAAAAAGCCCTCGGCCCGCATAGTGTGGCGCCGAGGGACCAGGATGGGTCAAAAATTTATATTTTTATTTCTGTTTTGCATTCCAAAATTAATATACGATTTTTAGGAATTAATGCAACAAACAACACAATTGCTTTTATGAATATTCTACTTTTTATGATTTTCTTTATTTTTCATCTTTAAAAAATAAAATAAAATAAAAACGATGTCAAAACATTATGAAATTTTGCAGACACGATCCTTATATTTTCTGGGCATGCGTACAAAAATGGCCTCAAAATCTGACAAAAAAAGTAAAGCGCTGTTAAAAAGCCCCCGGCCCGTGTAGTGGGGAGCATAAGGGCCGGGATGGGTCAGAACTTTATATTTGTTTTACATTCTATAATTAATATACAATTTTTAGAAATTAATGCAACAAGTAGCACCATTTTTTGATGAATATTCTATTTTTTATGATTTTCCTTATTTTTCATCTTTGAAAATAAAATAAAAATGACGTCAAAACATTATGAAATATTGCAGACACGATCCTTGCATTTTTCTGGGCATGAATGCAAAAAATGGCCTCAAAAAATGACACAAAAAAAAGTAAAACGCTGCCGAAAAGCCCTCAGCCAGCGTAGTGGGGCGCCCAGGGGCCGGGATGGGTTAAAAATTTATATTTTTATTAATGTTTTGCGCTGTAAATCTAATATACAATTTTTAGGAATTAATGCAACAATCGACACCCTTTTTTGAAAAATATTCTATTTTCTATGATTTTCTTTATTTTTTGTCTTCGAAAAATAAAATAAAATAAAAACGACGTCAAAAAATTACGAAATTTTGCACACACGATCCTGGGGCCAGCTTAAGGGCCGGGATGGGTAAAAAATTTACATTTTTATTTATATTTTGTATTCTAAAATTAATATATGATTTTTAAGAATTAATGCAACAAGTGGCACTATATTTTTTATTATTATTCTATTTTTTATGATTTTCTTTATTTTCATCTTTAAAAATATAATAAAAGAAAACTGGCGTCAAAAAATAATGAAATTTTGCAGACATGATCCTTACATTTTTCTATGTATGCAAGAAAAAAAATGGCAAAAAAAGTAAAACGCTATCCAAAAGCCATTGGGCCTCGTAGTGGGGCCCCCAAGGGCCAGCTCAGGAGCCAGGATGTGTCAAAAATTTATATTTTTATTTATTTTTTGCATTCTAAAATTAATATATGATTTTTAGAAATTAATGCAACAAGCGGCATAATTTTTTGATGAATTGTCTATTTTTTATGATTTTCTTTATTTTTTGTCTTTAAAAAACATAATAAAATAAAAACGACGTAAAAAAAGAATGAAATTTTACAGACACGATCCTTATATTTTTTTAGGCATGCCAAAAAAATGGCATAAAAAATGACAAAAAACCGCTGTCAAAAAGTCCCCCCGGCCCGCGTAGTGGGGCACCCAGGAGCCAGCTTAAGGGCCGGGATGTGTCAAAAATTTATATTTTTACTTATGTTTTGCATTCTAAAATTAATATATGATTTTTAAGAATTAATGCAACAAGCAGCACCATTTTTTTTTTTATGAATATTCTATTTTTTTATGATTTTCTTTATTTTCGTCTTTAAAAAATATAATAAAATAAAAATGGCGTAAAAAATAATGAGATTTTACAGGCACGATCCTTACATTTTTCTAGGCATGTCAGAAAAAAATGGCCTCAAAAAATGACAAAAAAAAGAGAACGCTGCCAAAAAGCCCCCGGCCCGCGTAGTGGGGCGCCCAGGGGCCAGCTCAGGGGCTGGGATGTGTCAAAAATTTTCATTTTTATTTATGCTTTTCATTCTAAAATTAATATATGATTTTTAAAAATTAAGGCAACAAGCAAAACCATTTTTTGATGAAGATTCTATTTTTTTATGATTTTCTTTATTTTTCGTATCAAAAAAATATAATAAAAGAAAAACGACGTCAAAAAATAATGAAATCTTACACACACAATCCTTATATTTTTCTTGACATGCCAGAAAAAAATGACCAAAAAAATGACAAAAAAAGTAAAACGTTATTAAAAAGCCGTAGGCCCGCGTAGTAGGGCGCCCAGGTGTGACACCTCCCGCCCTAGCGGCGGATCGCCAACCTTAAACTACTACTGATAGTCTAAACTATTACTTGTTATTATACTATCATCTCTTTAATTTACATTTTTCTATGAGTAAATTTTTTTTTTCTTTAACCCTCGGGTTCTTACATGTTTCTAGCATGTTCTTTTGTTATAACAACAACTTATCCTTGCAAATACTTTAAGAAATCGGATATGGAACTAGTCCCCGAAACTTATCTTAACTTATTACAGTCTATTGTTCT